ATTTCCAATATTTTAATAGATCTAATTAATAAATAGACTTCATGATACATATAAAATGTATATATATATATTAAAGACTGCCATTTAGCCATTGGGAGGGTACATTTATGTCATTCTTGACAATAATCTGGACATTCCCGTGTAGGCATTTTACTGGCAGCATATGTGGAAGGCACAAATGGCTCAAAGCAAAAGGGTCAGTGTTTGCGTCGCCACAAGTGCTGCAGAGTGAAATCCACTATCAATGAGACCTTCCACATGATACAGTGGTTATCCTGGCAAAAGTTATTGTTTAACTAGATTAGCTCAACTGCTTAGCTCTCCTAGCATGGCTACCAGAGGAGGAAGAAGTACTCAAAATATTGTACTAAAAGTAGAAGTACCAGAGTGTAGAAATACTCTGTTACAAGTAAAAATACTGCATTGCAAATGTTGCTCAAGTAAAAGTACAAAAGTATTAGCAACAAATTATATATTATAGTTATTAATTGTGTATTTATGCACCATAACACCAACACAAATTCCTTGTCTGTGTTAACCTACTTGGCAATATTCTGATTCTGAATGACTACTTTTACTTTTGGTAGAAATATTTACATCGAATAATTGGAATAAAATATGTGCATTTTCAATGTGCAATGTGCAGAATTCAGAGGGATGTGCAGTACTGACAGTATTATAATGAAAACAATGTATTGTTTACATTCCATATTACATTGCATGTCACTTATTAGGCGCTTTCATCTGAAGCAACTTACAAGCATTCAATACTGTGGGCAATCCCCAAATCATGATCCGAAGATCAGCGCACTATCCCACTGCACCACAGCCTCCTATACACATATACTGTAAAGTGTGCAGCCTACAAGGCAAGCTGTATATGTAGACGGTCAACAGTACGTCAACCAGAAATACAGAATCCTGCAGTGGTGAGAGTGGTGATCAACCAAATAAGATGATCAGTGGCAGATATTCTGTACTAGACTTCCACCTATCGGCAGTTAACCAAGTGTTAATGCAAGTGAACAGAATACTTTTTTGAAAACGCATACGGTGCATAAACGCAAACGTTCCTTTGTAAATGGGGTCTCAGTGTCCCACTCTTCCACATCACTGACCTCCCGCGACACATCAAATTCTCTCTCAATCAATGAAAGGGATGTAAACAGACTTTTTAGAAAACTCAATAGCAGAAAAGCGGCTGGCCCTGATAATGTCTCCCCCTCCACCCTGAAGCTCAGCTGTCTCTGGTGTTTACAGACATCTTCAACACCTCACTGGAGACATGCCATGTCCCATCATGCTTCAAAACCTCCACCATCATCCCGGTTCCCAGGAAAACAAGGATCACAGGATTAAACGACTACAGACCTGTCGCCCTAACCTCTGTGGTTATGAAGTCCTTTGAGCGCCTTGTCCTGTCCCACCTAAAATCCATCACAGACCCCCTCCTGGACCCCCTGCAGTTCACCTACAGAGCTAACAGATCTGTGGACGACGCTGTCAACATATCCCTTCACTTCCTCCTCCAGCACCTGGACACAGCAGGAACCTACGCCAGGATCCTGTTTGTGGTCTTCAGCTCCGCCTTCAACACCATCATCCCGGCTCTGCTGCAGGACAAGCTCTCAGCTGCACATGCCCAACTTCACCTACAGGTGGATCACAGACTTCCTGTCTGACAGGAAGCAGCACGTGAGGCTGGGGAAACACGTCTCTGACCCCTAGACCATCAGCACCGGTTCCCCTCAATGCTGCGTTCTTTCACCTCTGCTCTTCTCCCTGTATACCAACAGCTGCACCTCCAGTCACCAGTCTGTCAAGCTCCTGAAGTTCACAGACGACACCACCCTCATCGGACTCATCTCTGGTGGGGGGCGGGGGGGTCTGCCTACAGGTGGGAGATGGACCATCTGGTGACCTGGTGTGGGGAAAACCACCTGGAGCTCAATGCTCTCAAGACAGTGGAGATGGTCATGGACTTCAGGAAGAACGCAGCCCAACCCGCCCCCATCACTCTGTGTGACTCCCCAGTAACTGCTGCGGAGTCTTTCCGCTTCCTGGGCACCATCATCAGACCTCAAATGGGAGCAGAACACCCCTCATCAAAAAAGCCCAGCAGAGGATGTTCTTCCTGAGGCAGCTGAAGAAATTCAAGCTGTCAAAGACGATGATGGTGAACTTTTACACCTCCATCATGGAGTCCATCCTCACCTCCTCCATCCCCATCTGGTACGCTGCAGCCACAGCCAAGGAAAAGAGCAGGCTTCAGCGTATGATCCGCTCTGCAGAGAAGGTGATCGGCTGCAATCTGCAATCCCTCCACGACCTGCACGCCTCCAGAACCCTGAGGCGGCAGGGAAGATAGTGGCCGACCCCTCCCACCCTGGATACTAGCTGTTCATCCCCCTCCCCTCTGGCAGGAGGCTGCGCTCCACATCAGGACCAGAACCTCTCGCCACCTGAACAGTTTCTTCCCCTCTGCTACCGGCCTCTTAAACAAGGCCCGGCCCCCCCACTGACACTTTACCTCAGCCACAATGCAGACTCTATGCATTACATGAATGCACACAATGTTCAAATACTGCTTACTGCACATATTCTTATTTCATATTTCATAGTTTATATTCTATAATTCATTCTATAATTGCAATCTATTTCTCTGTAAATTACTGCTCTATTTTATTGCTATTTAACTATATTTTATTACAGTGTCCTTAAAGATTTTAGGTTTATATTAGATTTTTGTTTTATATGGAGATTCTTTGTTTTATATTTGATGTCTGCACCACGACATCAAGTCAAATTCCTCGTATGTGTGAACCTACCTGGTGATAGTATTGGTCTAATGGATAGTGAGGTGGGCAACCTGCACAAACTCAGCTCACCATGATTACAGATGGTGAAATGCAATGTAAAATTACCGAAAAAATACCAGCTCACTAAATCACAACCGCTCAAACCAACTACAAACTACTACCGCGGATTGAGCAGAGAAGGAGTCCGAAAAAGTTGCTCCCCCATGTGACGTAATATGACGCGTTTGACGTTAAAAAAAAGCAGTTTTTAGTAGCAGAGCTACGGCTCCTTTCCCTCTGAATTCCTGCCCTTATGTCTTGTAAAACATATCAAATCCTGCATTAACTTTTTTAATTGTAATTTAAAGGCAAGGTTAAGCAGAAATGTAGTAAAAAAAAACCTGCAAGTTGCTCTTTAACGTGACATTTAAGCTCGCTCCGTTGCGGAGATATTCCCCTGAGAGTGCGGACAACTTTTTCTGGCTGCAGCGCAAGGACTCTTGGTGTCAAAATGTAGAATAACACAAACTCCAACACAACTTCTTTGAAATAAATTTAAGCATATATTATGTTTAATGAACTTTTAAACATCTTACAACTGGTTTACTCTCTGTGCCCTTTTCTTTAGTGCAGCCATCTGCAATGAGTTAGAGAGAGAGAGAGAGTTAAAAGTGGGGTTGCAGGCTGACATGCTTAACTAACAATAATGCTTAATTTATTATATCAAAACAATGCCTGTCTATCTAGCATAACATCCCAATAAGCTGCTAGCAACTGCAAATAGTGCTAGCTAATGTTTTGCAAAATATTAAAAGTGAGGCTATTGCAGTAGACCTAATGTTAGTCTAGTAGCCTCACTTCTAATATTTTGCTAAACATTTGCTAGATACATGTTGACTAGCTAATGAGCTTCACAACCATGGTGTCCCCCAAGGCTCCGTGCTTGGTCCCCTACTTTTCACCATTTACATGCTCCCCTTTGGCCAGATCATACGTCAATTCGGTCTCAATTTCCACTGCTACGCTGACGACACTCAGCTCTATCTCAGCACCTCACCATCCGCCCAGCTCCCTCCACAGTCTTTGGTCAACTGTCTCCACGCCATAAAAACCTGGATGACAGCAAATCTACTCAAACTCAACAGTAAGAAGACTGAGCTCATGGTTGTGGCCCCCAAAGCACTGCTCCGGAAGGTTGGGGATCTCCTCCTCCACATTGACGGCTGTTCCATCTCCCCGTCTCCCGAAGTCCGTAACCTGGGTGTCATCCTTGACTCCACTCTCTCATTTCAGTCACACATCAAATCCGTCACTAAGTCTGCCTTCTATCACCTCAGGAACATCTCCCGTCTACGACCATCACTCTCTGATTCCGTGGCCGAGACCCTCATTCATGCATTCGTCTCCTCCCGGTTGGATTACTGCAACGGAGTCCTGTTCGGGGTTCCCAGTAAAGCCCTGGACAGGCTCCAGTATGTGCAGAACTCGGCTGCCAGGGTGCTCACTCACACCAAGCCCTGGCAGCACATCACCCCCACCCTGATCCACCTACACTGGCTCCCAGTCAAGCACCGTATCACCTATAAACTCCTTCTTCTGACTTACAAATCCCTCCATGCCCTCGCCCCCCTATACCTGTCTGACCTTCTCCGCTACCACACTCCATCCCGGAAGCTAAGATCATCTGGACAGGATCTCCTCTCCACCCCCCGCACCAGGTTGCGGACTTTTGGTGACAGAGCCTTCAGTGTGGCATCCCCCACCCTCTGGAACTCTCTCCCCCCCGAAATCCGCAGCGCCCCAACCCTGGACATTTTCAAAAAAGCCCTCAAAACGCACCTTTTTACCAAGGCTTTCGCCACTGTATAGTTAGTTTAATAGGTTTATTTTTCCGCTACTCCCCCCCCCCCCCCCCACCCCCTTAACCTGTCTGCCTTTTTTCCCCTACTCCCCCCCTACCCGACTTGTAAAGCGACCTTGGGTTTCCTGAAAGGCGCTATAAAAATATTATTTATTATTATTATTATTATATCAACCTCCACTCGCAGGCCCCCTAGTCTGTACCCTGGTATCAATTTTACACTGAAAAAAGCAAAGGTCCCTGTGTGTAAATGTGGTTTCCGGTTTTAACTTGAAAGTGCACAGGAAGTGACCTCAGATTCCTCCCACCTAGCTTGACTGCACGCTGCGTCTAGACGTGCAGATAGTTGAAGCGCTAATGAGGACAGACTGCATTTAAAGGAGTTGAGCGAGCTGTGTGTTCAGTAAGTATGACGTTTAATTACGATGTTTAAGTCCCATACTAGTTTCATATGATATCAGGCATTATTTATCAATTATAAACTATTTTTAAAATTAAGTTGTAAACGTTAAAATGGTATGTTCCATGCCACACGTGGACATGTCACAGTTAGCATTTCAAGTCCACGCTGGTTTTCATCACGTTTTCCAAAGGAATGGCTCTATATATTTATTGTAAGTAACAATATATTTAGCCAGTGTAATACAATTCATTATTCAGACTATAAAAGTTCATTAATTTGGTTTACAACTGCCTTCAGACTGCTAGCAAAAATACTGACGCACATGTCTCTGCCCCTCCCCCACCACGCATGCTATGCTACACTATGATTCCAAATCGTATTTACTCAAGCAGATTTATTTTCTTCAGGGCTCAGGCTTGATTCATTCAAATGATCAAATATCATGCTAACATTAAAGTGATGGTTTGTGATGTAAAGTAGTGAGAGAGTCTGGGCATAGGCTAGCTGTTCAAGTGTATTTGCATGGTGCTTAGGTGTGTGATATGATTTAGCAGCTAGCACAGTTTGGAGTGATGAACAAGAATTAAAGAAAAAAGCCATCTAATTTTTGCTACCTTTCTCTGCAGTTGGAAATGCCACCAAGGGTCAGTCCCCTTAAGGATGCCCAAAAGACTATCCAATCAAAGACTGATAACACCAATAAATTAGATGTGAAATACATCAATGCAGTGAAAGGTAAGAGGATTTTACATAAGGTGTTCATCATTATAACATAATCTACGATGTCCCTGAAGTTCAAGACACCACAGCATTTCACAAAACACTACAGCATTTCACAAAACACTACAGCATTTCACAAAACACTACAGCATTTCACAAAACACTACAGCATTTCTACAGTATTTCACTAAACACTACAGCATTTCACAAAACACTACAGCATTTCACTAAACACTACAGCATTTCACTAAACACTACAGTATTTCACTAAACACTACAGCATTTCACTAAACGCTACAGTATTTCACTAAACACTACAGTATTTCACTAAACACTACAGCATTTCACAAAACACTACAGTATTTCACTAAACACTACAGCATTTCACTAAACGCTACAGCATTTCACAAAACACTACAGCATTTCACTAAACACTACAGCATTTCACTAAACACTACAGCATTTCACTAAACACTACAGCATTTCTACAGTATTTCACTAAACACTACAGCATTTCACTAAACACTACAGCATTTCACAAAACACTACAGCATTTCACTAAACACTACAGCATTTCACAAAACACTACAGCATTTCACTAAACACTACAGCATTTCACTAAACACTACAGTATTTCACTAAACACTACAGCATTTCACTAAACGCTACAGTATTTCACTAAACACTACAGTATTTCACTAAACACTACAGCATTTCACAAAACACTACAGTATTTCACTAAACACTACAGCATTTCACTAAACGCTACAGCATTTCACAAAACACTACAGCATTTCACTAAACACTACAGTATTTCACTAAACACTACAGCATTTCACTAAACACTACAGCATTTCACTAAACACTACAGCATTTCACTAAACACTACAGTATTTCACTAAACACTACAGTATTTCACTAAACACTACAGCATTTCACTAAACACTACAGTATTTCACTAAACACTACAGCATTTCACTAAACACTACAGTATTTCACTAAACACTACAGCATTTCACTAAACACTACAGCATTTCACTAAACACTACAGTATTTCACTAAACACTACAGTATTTCACTAAACACTACAGTATTTCACTAAACACTACAGCATTTCACTAAACACTACAGTATTTCACTAAACACTACAGCATTTCACTAAACACTACAGTATTTCACTAAACACTACAGCATTTCACTAAACACTACAGCATTTCACTAAACACTACAGTATTTCACTAAACACTACAGCATTTCACTAAACACTACAGCATTTCACTAGCATAATCATTCACAAAACGCTACAGCATTTCACAAAACGCTACAGCATTTCACTAAACGCTACAGCATTTCACAAAACGCTACAGCATTTCACTAAACGCTACAGCATTTCACTAAACGCTACAGCATTTCACAAAACACTACAGCATTTCACTAAACGCTACAGCATTTCACTAAACGCTACAGCATTTCACTAAACGCTACAGCATTTCACTAAACACTACAGCATTTCTACAGTATTTCACTAAACACTACAGCATTTCACTAAACACTACAGCATTTCACAAAACACTACAGCATTTCACTAAACACTACAGCATTTCACAAAACACTACAGCATTTCACTAAACACTACAGCATTTCACTAAACACTACAGTATTTCACTAAACACTACAGCATTTCACTAAACGCTACAGTATTTCACTAAACACTACAGTATTTCACTAAACACTACAGCATTTCACAAAACACTACAGTATTTCACTAAACACTACAGCATTTCACTAAACGCTACAGCATTTCACAAAACACTACAGCATTTCACTAAACACTACAGTATTTCACTAAACACTACAGCATTTCACTAAACACTACAGCATTTCACTAAACACTACAGCATTTCACTAAACACTACAGTATTTCACTAAACACTACAGTATTTCACTAAACACTACAGCATTTCACTAAACACTACAGTATTTCACTAAACACTACAGCATTTCACTAAACACTACAGTATTTCACTAAACACTACAGCATTTCACTAAACACTACAGCATTTCACTAAACACTACAGCATTTCACTAAACACTACAGTATTTCACTAAACACTACAGTATTTCACTAAACGCTACAGCATTTCACAAAACGCTACAGCATTTCACAAAACGCTACAGCATTTCACTAAACGCTACAGCATTTCACAAAACGCTACAGCATTTCACTAAACGCTACAGCATTTCACTAAACGCTACAGCATTTCACAAAACTCTACAGCATTTCACTAAACGCTACAGCATTTCACTAAACGCTACAGCATTTCACTAAACGCTACAGCATTTCACTAAACGCTACAGCATTTCACTAAACACTACAGCATTTCACTAAACACTACAGCATTTCACTAAACGCTACAGCATTTCACAAAACGCTACAGCATTTCACAAAACGCTACAGCATTTCACTAAACGCTACAGCATTTCACTAAACGCTACAGCATTTCACAAAACGCTACAGCATTTCACTAAACACTACAGCATTTCACTAAACACTACAGCATTTCACTAAACGCTACAGCATTTCACTAAACGCTACAGCATTTCACAAAACGCTACAGCATTTCACAAAACGCTACAGCATTTCACAAAACGCTACAGCATTTCACAAAACGCTACAGCATTTCACAAAACGCTACAGCATTTCACAAAACGCTACAGCATTTCACTAAACGCTACAGCATTTCACTAAACGCTACAGCATTTCACTAAACGCTACAGCATTTCACAAAACGCTACAGCATTTCACTAAACACTACAGCATTTCACTAAACGCTACAGCATTTCACAAAACACTACAGTATTTCACTAAACACTACAGCATTTCACTAAACGCTACAGCATTTCACAAAACACTACAGCATTTCACTAAACACTACAGCATTTCACTAAACACTACAGCATTTCTACAGTATTTCACTAAACACTACAGCATTTCACTAAACACTACAGCATTTCACAAAACACTACAGCATTTCACTAAACACTACAGCATTTCACAAAACACTACAGCATTTCACTAAACACTACAGCATTTCACTAAACACTACAGCATTTCACTAAACACTACAGCATTTCACTAAACGCTACAGCATTTCACAAAACACTACAGCATTTCACTAAACACTACAGCATTTCACTAAACGCTACAGTATTTCACAAAACACTACAGCATTTCACTAAACACTACAGTATTTCACTAAACACTACAGCATTTCACTAAACACTACAGCATTTCACTAAACACTACAGCATTTCACTAAACACTACAGTATTTCACTAAACACTACAGCATTTCACTAAACACTACAGCATTTCACTAAACACTACAGCATTTCACTAAACGCTACAGCATTTCACTAAACGCTACAGCATTTCACTAAACGCTACAGCATTTCACTAAACGCTACAGCATTTCACTAAACGCTACAGCATTTCACAAAACGCTACAGCATTTCACAAAACGCTACAGCATTTCACAAAACGCTACAGCATTTCACTAAACGCTACAGCATTTCACTAAACGCTACAGCATTTCACTAAACGCTACAGCATTTCACTAAACGCTACAGCATTTCACTAAACGCTACAGCATTTCACTAAACGCTACAGCATTTCACTAAACGCTACAGCATTTCACTAAACGCTACAGCATTTCACTAAACGCTACAGCATTTCACTAAAACGCTACAGCATTTCACAAAACGCTACAGCATTTCACAAAACGCTACAGCATTTCACAAAACGCTACAGCATTTCACTAAACGCTACAGCATTTCACTAAACGCTACAGCATTTCACTAAACGCTACAGCATTTCACTAAACGCTACAGCATTTCACTAAACGCTACAGCATTTCACTAAACGCTACAGCATTTCACTAAACACTACAGCATTTCACTAAACACTACAGCATTTCACAAAACGCTACAGCATTTCACTAAACACTACAGCATTTCACTAAACACTACAGCATTTCACAAAACGCTACAGCATTTCACAAAACGCTACAGAACCAGACAGCGCAACATGTCCCAACACATCAGCCGTTAGCACACACTCAGCGCTCACAGCTCTTCATATCTGTTCAGAAACTGGACAAAAGTTAAACATGTACAAACCACAGACTGTCTGTGTCATGGTGAATACAGTCGCTGCTTTATTTATGTCTGTATCATGTTGGTGTGAGTTTGGACGGAGCCGCTACAGGTTAGTTTAGTCTGATCTCCATTCAGAAAACACACATTTTAAAAGGTTCTTCGCCTGCCGTCTGTCTGCAGACTTGTCAAAGCATTAATTCATGGTTTTTACTAACCGGTATCAGTATGTTGTTACTTCGGCATCATTTTGAAACGTGTATTACAATTAAATCACGGTCAAATATGTTCATTTTGTTGTAGTTGGTATCTCCCATAACCCATAGGAGATACCAACTACAACTACGCCCCCTTGTCTCGTGTCTTGTTTGAATGACAGGAGTAAACACAGCTGACAGCCACAGTGAAACTCGAGCGATTAGAGCGATGCGAAAAAACCATGAATAATGCATTCATGGTTTTTAAGGGGCTTATCTCCATGTTACCGTGATTTAATTGTAATACATGTTTCAAAGTGATGCCGAAGTAACTACATACTGATACCGGTTAGTAAAAACCATGAATTAATGCTTTGACTAGTGTGCAGACAGACGGCAGAGAAACACCTTTTAAAATGCGTGCTTTCTGAATGGAATCGGATGGATCGGGCTAAACTGACCTGTAGCTGCTCGTCAAATGCTGTGATGTTTTGTAACCGTAATAATTGAATCATGTAAATGTCAGTCGCTTTTTATCTCCACATTTATTTTGGAATTACATATAGTCCACAGACTCATCATTCTAATGGCCCCTTTCATTGAAAATGTCATATATTGTCTTGCAGGACGTGGTATAATTGCCCTTGGTCAGTTTTCCAAAGGAGATTTTGTTTTGGAGTACAGAGGGGACCCATGCTAAACTGCACTGAATGGTATATAAGGCTTTAATCAGTTGGATATTTGACAGTTATATCCAGCACTAACATTGATTAAACTGCATCAGAGGCTAAAATATATCTCAACTCATACCATTTTTAAAGGAAGTCAAATGAACGACTGTTCATTTTTGTTCCCTTTCCTCTTATTTTGATGCTTAAGTATTGATGCCTCAAGGGAAGATGGGTCATTTGGACGGCTCGTCAACAACGACCACCTTGGGCCCAACTGTATGAAAAGAGTCGATGTGGATGGGAAGCCACATTTATGTTTGTTAGACGAAATAAAAAAAGGAGAGGAAATTACATATGACTACGGTGGTGATGACTGCCCATGGAGAGTGCAAGTAAGTGACACAACTAGTGTTGCAAAATGTCTCAGAAAAACCTTAATGTTAATGTATGATCTTAAATAATCTAATCAATAACATTTAACACGTACATGTTGTATTTATTAGGAATACAACAAGAAATGCTGTGTGTTGAGGACTGTGTGTTGAGTACTGTGTGTTGAGTACTGTGTGTTGAGTACTGTGTGTTGAGGACTGTGTGTTGAGTACTGTGTGTTGAGTACTGTGTGTTGAGTACTGTGTGTTGAGTACTGTGTGTTGAGGACTGTGTGTTGAGTACTGTGTGTTGAGTACTGTGTGTTGAGTACTGTGTGTTGAGTACTGTGTGTTGAGTACTGTGTGTTGAGGACTGTGTGTTGAGTACTGTGTTGAGTACTGTGTGTTGAGTACTGTGTGTTGAGGACTGTGTGTTGAGTACTGTGTGTTGAGGACTGTGTGTTGAGTACTGTGTGTTGAGTACTGTGTGTTGAGTACTGTGTGTTGGGTACTGTGTGTTGAGGACTGTGTGTTGAGTACTGTGTGTTGAGGACTGTGTGTTGAGTACTGTGTGTTGAGTACTGTGTGTTGAGTACTGTGTGTTGAGTACTGTGTGTTGAGGACTGTGTGTTGAGTACTGTGTGTTGAGGACTGTGTGTTGAGGACTGTGTGTTGAGGACTGTGTGTTGAGTACTGTGTGTTGAGGACTGTGTGTTGAGTACTGTGTTGAGTACTGTGTGTTGAGTACTGTGTGTTGGGTACTGTGTGTTGAGGACTGTGTGTTGAGTACTGTGTGTTGAGGACTGTGTGTTGAGTACTGTGTGTTGAGTACTGTGTGTTGAGTACTGTGTGTTGAGTACTGTGTGTTGAGTACTGTGTGTTGAGTACTGTGTGTTGAGGACTGTGTGTTGAGGACTGTGTGTTGAGTACTGTGTGTTGAGGACTGTGTGTTGAGTACTGTGTGTTGAGTACTGTGTGTTGAGTACTGTGTGTTGAGGACTGTGTGTTGAGTACTGTGTGTTGAGGACTGTGTGTTGAGTACTGTGTGTTGAGTACTGTGTGTTGAGTACTGTGTGTTGAGTACTGTGTGTTGAGGACTGTGTGTTGAGTACTGTGTGTTGAGTACTGTGTGTTGAGTACTGTGTGTTGGGTACTGTGTGTTGAGGACTGTGTGTTGAGTACTGTGTGTTGAGGACTGTGTGTTGAGTACTGTGTGTTGAGTACTGTGTGTTGAGTACTGTGTGTTGAGTACTGTGTGTTGAGTACTGTGTGTTGAGTACTGTGTGTTGAGGACTGTGTGTTGAGGACTGTGTGTTGAGTACTGTGTGTTGAGTACTGTGTGTTGAGGACTGTGTGTTGAGTACTGTGTGTTGAGTACTGTGTGTTGAGTACTGTGTGTTGAGGACTGTGTGTTGAGTACTGTGTGTTGAGGACTGTGTGTTGAGTACTGTGTGTTGAGTACTGTGTGTTGAGGACTGTGTGTTGAGTACTGTGTGTTGAGTACTGCCAAGCAGTTTCTCAATTCCCTCTAAGGCCAATGTTAATATAATATTTAGGACAAACTTTGGGCTTTAAACTGACTCTCCTTTTGATTAAAAATCACACTTCTCTGGGATACCTACGACGTCCCCACAACACACCTTACATCAGATCTTGAGCAGAAACTGTGTGTTAAGTGGATTACAAACTAGAGTCACTTGGTCCCCAAAAGTGACCTCAACATGGTGTGTGAAATGTCCCCACTAAGCTGGTTGTATTCAGTGTGTGAGAAATGACAGGGTTAAGGTAGCATTAGTGTACAGTATTGAATGGGGGGGGGGGGGGGTCTCTGTAGTCTGGTGTTTGTTGACATGCATTTAGATTGAGATGTTTCCTTGTAGTCTTGTTTTATAATATGTAGTGATTGCATGCAATTGTATGGTTTTATTCTCTATTTTAAAATGCTTTTATGATGATATGTTTCCAGGCGCCTGTGACAAGAGACTCCAACCCTGATGGTCCCATTGAGAGCGAGAGCGCTGACACCAGGAATGCTGGGCCATCAAACAAACCCGACATCAACAGAGAGGTACATCCATGTTTACCACTTAGCTTTATACTTAGCATCTTTCTGAATCCCTAGCTGTGGCCTCTGTTCTTCTTCAAGCTGATAAATGGATGATGAAAACATACATGTTGTATTTATTAGGAATAAAACAAGAAATGCCAAATTGAGCAGAAACAGTTATTTCTTACTGGTGTTTATGTTCCATCGCAAATAAAGCGATATTGTTTGAGGAACATTTCAAACCTCACACAATATGTTCACAACAGCCTTATTGTTACAGTGTTTTAACTATAAACTGTTAATTGCAAACTGTAACATATTTTTTCATTATCTACAGATTGGAACAGTTTTCCAGAAGCACAATTTGAATACTGTACTCTCTCCTCGATTGAGACGAACTAAAAGCCTTATAGTAAGTTTTCATTTAAGCTGCTTAATTTACATTATAGGATCCCTCAATATCAGACAGTATTGTCATAATGTTGTGCTCTTATTTGGATTGTGTTTTGTTTAAACGACATCTGTTTCTGTGTTTGATTTTAGATAAAGGACACACATCTAGAGGAACCCGATGAACTGTACGATTCCAGCAGTGATATCTCTGGGAGTGGGGATGAGTTTGTCCCGGATTCTACATCAGTGATTCCACCCTCACAATGACAAAGAAAAGGCCATCTCTGATGGATTTATTTGATGGTCTTTGTGATACTACACTACCAGACTCGGGACCACCAGGAGCAGAAGAACCCTGCACAGATGCCATGACAGAAAGTGATGGTGATACTCGCTATCAAACAGGAAGGAAACGGCAGTCTCCGGCTGATTCATTGAATGTCCCAGTCTGCGATTCCACAGTGCCTCACCAGATAACATTTGGAGACAGTGGAGAAAAAGAACAATGTTCAAGTCAGGACACGCATCAGAGCATTGTTGTTGGTGCTTCCCAAAAACAAGACGGTATTAGAGTCTACAACAAGAGACACTATTGCCTTTATTGTAGTAGGCCTTATGCGAAAATGGCAAGGCATCTAGAAAAAGCCCATGAAGACAAAGTAGATGTAGCTAAAGCCCTTAGCTTTCCAAAGAGGTCAAAGGAGAGAAGACATCAATTGAATTACATCCGCAACAGAGGCAACTATGCGCACAATGCTGCTGTCATGGAGTCTGGGAATGGCGAACTAGTACCGTTTTTAAAAGACCTACTCAACAGGCAAAGGGGAATGAGTTTATGCATTGCGCATATTGCCAAGGCCTTTTCACCAGAAAGGTCTTGTGGCGACATACGCACATGCAAACTCAAACCCAAATCGGTTTCCCGGAAACCTGGAAAGAATCGCGTCCAGTCATTGTGCGCATACACAGGGCCTGTGCCTGCACAGATTTCAAAACAATTGTGGGGAGTGATTAGTTCTATGAATCCTGATCCCATCACAAATATCATTAAAAGTGACCATGTCATCACTGATCTTGGGCAGCACTTGTTGAACAAAGGTGTAAGGGAGAAGATGAGAGAATTGGGACGGTTAATTCACAATGGCAGAAGGGTCACCAGTCTAAAAAACCTGGAGGATTTCATTCATCCTAAGAAGTACTTGGAGATGGTCAGAGCTGTTCAGGTCACTTGTGGCTATGATAGTGGAACTGGAACATTTCAGATTCCATCCCTTGCAAACAAACTTGGCAATGCGATGGTCAAGGTCAGCAAACTGTTGAAAGCTCATGGGTTAATAGCTAACGATCATGAACTTGTGAGAAATGCCACAGAATTTCAACAAGTTCACAGTGAGAAATGGAACGAGATGATTTCTTCAACGGCTCTCAGAAACATTGCTGAATCAAAATGGAACGTTCCCACTCTTATGCCATTCACTGAGGATGTTCAAAAATGGCATCAGTTTCTCAGTGCGATGCAAGATGAGTGCAGCAGCGAACTATCTGGAACACCTTCTACAAAGTCCTGGACGGAACTGGCAAAGGTGTGTTTAACACAGATTATCCTCTTCAATCGACGCAGGGAAGGAGAAGTAGCAAGCATGCCGCTGACTGCATTTCTGTCAAGGGACACTTCTGATCCCCACGAGGATGTGGACTGGGCACTCTCTGAAGTGGAGAAAAAACTGTGCAGACATTTCTCAAGGATTGTCATCAGGGGAAAGCGAGGCAGACCAGTTCCAATTCTTCTGACTCCGAAAATGCTGTGCGCATTAGAACTCCTCGTGAAGTATAGAGAGGATTGTGGGGTTCTAAAAGACAATGCATATATGTTTGCAAGACCTACAGCTATGACACATTTCCGTGGTTCAGACTGCATGCGTGGCTTTGCAAAAACATGTGGTGCTAAGTGTCCAAAGTCACTGACATCGACCAGACTCAGAAAGCATGCGGCAACCCTCTCCACCGTGCTGAACATGACAGACACAGAAATGGACCAGCTGGCCAACGATATTAGAATTCATCGTGAATTCTATCGACTACCGGAGAAGACGCTTCAACTTGCCAAGATCAGCAAAGTTCTAATGGCACTTGAGCAAGGGAGATTAGCAGAGCTTCATGGAAAGAACTTGGGTGAAATCACAATAGGGCCAGATGGTATGTTATTTGTTCATTATGTTTTTCTTCTCAATTATTCTAATTGCTTCCCCATGTTTAACCTGTACTCGGTATATCTCCAACAGAAAGAGTTATTGGTAGTGATGAAGAAGAAGGGAGCGGGAACATAGAGGAAGGAAACTGCTTCTGCTGTTGATGGTATGTTGTTAGTAATTTAATGTAGAACAAATAAGTACTTCAGTCTATACAAAATTCACAAAGAAAGTTTAGCAGTTGTTTTATTTTGGATTTGTTGTTCTGTCTTTTACTCTTGGTCTTGCACAAGCACTTTAGTTTGCTACAATTGCAGTATATACACTATGACATACCTTTGGTCAGGGTCACAGCAATAGGACCAGTCATGGAAGTGGGGAAAAGTGTTCTTTCTTTTCCAAGTGTGATCAATTTCCTCTCCAATATTATTGGTTATGGTCAGCATTTCTACAGTAAAGTTAATGAAGTGCTCTAAACCCAGCAGAGGAGACTCTTACATCTGTAAGGGATGGAGGTTTTAAAAGATGGGCCGGTAAAGGTCTTATCACAATGAACCAAATGTTTGATGTCCTTCTCCCAACTTCAAGTACAATATGGGCTCCCGTCAAATGATTGATATAGGTACTTCCAGATAAGACACTATATTACGAGCCACAAGGAAAGAGAAGCAATCCAAAAAAATCCAAACATTATAGAAGAATATTTTATTAGTATTGCAGAAAAATGCTTCTCAAATAAGAAACGTGTCTCTCACTTATATCAGAGGCTTATGGCAGACGACTCCCAAAACACCTGGAATGTTAGAGATCAATGAGAATTGGAACTAAACATTATAATCGAAGATGCAGTCTGGGAAAGCTTCTGTGTGGGCAGTCAGAAAGGAATGAATAGTCAGTTATGGAAAGAGTTTGTTTGGAAGCTGAAAATCAGATTTTTTAACACTCCTTTTTTAATTTCTAAATATGTACAAGGACCATCAGTCGCATTATGTTGGAGGAAATGTGGAAAAATAGGGGATCATACACATATCTTTTGGGATTGCCCAGTAATTGAAGGATTTTGGAAATCTGTTAAAGAGGAGATTAGAAACATCCTGGAAATGACTGTTCCTCTGGAGCCCATGTTGGTCTTGCTCGGAGCTTTACCTACAGACACTCACGATTCAGACCAGAGGTACATATTACGGATACTGTTATTAATTGCCAAAAAGATTATAACTGAACTGGAAAAATGCAAAATCTCCGACAATCATTCAGTGGAAGCACAAACAAGTCTACACGATGGAAAGAATACGGCGAGCCTGCAGATCAAAATGGACTCTTTTACCCAAAGATGGAACTGTGTTAAGATATCTGGATGTATCGCTGGTTGAAGAGGGTTGTTGAAACTGAACCGAACTTCAGATGAATACTAGGGAAAACATCCCTGTGTAACTGATCCTGCTGTGCCAAAGATGTCAGTCCCTATGTAAAATACTTTCATTAATATGTATTTGATTTTACTTTATTTATTTTTATATCCCAGTTTGTATTTATTTATATTATTTACTTCATTATTTCAATTTATACTGGATTTGCTTTATTTCAATATTAACTATACTTTGCTTTGTCATGTAATCATCTGCCATTTGAATGAAAACGTCCTATGTCAGGATATGTCTTGTCTTGTCTTGTTGTCACCCCGGGGATTCCACGCTGCTGTTTTCGCCTGTCCTTTGCTGCTGTGCTGATTTGCTCCAGGAACATCGAGGATACTGTGTGCTGGTCTGGGGAAATGGCCCATATCGGGATTCTGCTGTGCCTGTTCTCCCATCTCCAGGTGACTGGGGGTGGGAGAGGAAGGCCACAGTTGGATGGTAAGTTTACTGGACCACATTACCAGAACTCCTCCGCTGTGAATGCAAAAAGGGGTGCTGTGGACAGTGCAAATGTTTCAAGGCAGCAATTCAGTGCAGTGCCCTTTGACACTGTGGTGGACTGTTTTCAGAACTAACTCTGCATTTAGTTGAACACCTGTAATATTACATATGTATTATGTAACATGTATTACTTCACCAAAATAAATATGTTGATGCTTTTACTGTGTATTTTGTTCCCTGAATACCAGATACATGTAGTTAGCTACATTCCAGCATGTTGTAAATAGTACCAATGCATTCCTCATCCTTGAAAATGTAGGATTAGCCACCACAATCAAGTTCCTAGGTGGTCTAGAGATCCTAAGCTACTGGTCAAATAACAACCAATGGTCAAATATGCGATGGCCCTATAGCCACACATCTTCCTTAGGGCATGCTCTAACAGTGAGCCAAAGTTCATGTTTTTATCATCAAAAGCACAATCTTTCAGATATTTCACATATCTGCTGGACTATAATACAAACATAGTATTCAGTTCAATTATCTTGGGAACATATTGAAATAATAATAATCCTTAGATCTCACATTTCAAGTATAGGAAAAATAAAAAGTGTGAGTGTTTACATAAATCTTGGCAAAATGTATTTTGTTTTAACAAAACAAAGTCAGGACAAAATTACGTCCATCATACAGCCTTCCTATTTTCGCTGAATTTGTCTTTTGTATGCTGCGATACGGTTATGAACATAAAACTTTAAGGTCTGCCAATCCCGATGTTTAAGAGCTATTGGTTCTGCCTTTAAACATTTCTCGCAGTCGCTCTTCCCTGGCACAAGACAAGAAGTAATAAATCGACTCGTGTTTATCAACTGCCTGGGTCTCAGTCTTTGTCCAGGGCACTCTTTTCTGAGCAGCTTTTCCTGTAAGTGAGCAGAAAAAACATTTCAATTAAACAAAAAGGCAATGTGTAATCTATAATTCCTCTTTGCATTCACTTAATTGGGTAGTTGCAGTCACTGATTGGATAGGTGCCTCTTATGACCAATCACAGACAGGCACAAGACTATGGCTTGTATTTTCACAAGATGAGCAAACTATATTATTCAACAAATATAGCCTAAAACATATAATCCAGGTAACAAGCAACACACCTGCTGCAGCTGAAGGCAGGAAGGGACGTTGGCCAAAATGGCAGACTATGTGAAGACCTAAATTGCCAGGCTCATCACTATTGAATTACCAAGGAATGAGTATAGAAGACAACAGTTACTATTGGGTATTCCCTTTATATTAACAAATGTCATTAATTCAGCTGAAACCCCCTGCAGAGTTAAACAGTCTGCGGAGTCTGCAGGACTGTAAACGTACAACTACACTTGTACACTTGTCGCACCTGCAACATATGAATCATACTTTGTAGTACAGGCCTCTGGAGTCTCCAAAAGTTCTGTGGAGCTGGTATAATGAGTAAATAATTATTAATGCTAATAAAAACAACATTGCCATGTGCTGTTTTTTGTGCAGCTGTTATACATGGGTGTGATTGAAACTACTGCACTCAATAAAAGGGTGTCAGCTAACTTCCAAGCCACACATATCTATATGCCACCATCTATAACAATATCTTCCACTTAAGCTGTTGTCCAGAGCACCAGCAGTTTAAAGAGTGCAAAAGGGAAGATTGATATATTTTCTGACCAATTTCTGCCAAATATAAAATAATGTAATTAAAAAGAACATTGTAAAATGTACCTTTTGAAGTATGTCTTACAGCATGGACTTCAGGCGATTCCTGTCCCTCTGCTGTTGGCAATCTGGGTCTCTTCAGGTTCTGTGGGAGTTGATTCCCTCAGTAGGTGTAAGAGTCTCCTCTCTGCTGTTGGCAATCTGGGTCTCTTCAGGTTCTGTGGGAGTTGATTCCCCTCAGTAGGTGTAAGAGTCTCCTCTCTGCTGTTGGCAATCTGGGTCTCTTCAGGTTCTATGGGAGTTGATTCCCCTCAGTAGGTGTAAGAGTCTCCTCTGCTGTTGGCAATCTGGATCTCTTCAGGTTCTGTGGGAGTTGGTTCCCCTCAGTAGATGTAAGGAACATGTCTGTCTTATGGACATAGTTAACATGGGACTTTTCCTTAAAATGTACTGAAGTCCGCACAATGTAAATGTGATGTCAACTACCAATGCAAATTCCCTGCCAAGGGCAAGACAAATGTTACCAACTATGCCTACACACATGCAACCCTTGGGGGTTCTATTTTGTTGTTATTCAGTGTTACCAGGGGCACGAACTTCTGACCGGTGTTCCCTCTTGGTTTAGTCCGTGGGGGAGTGCTTAAGTGTGGGTACACATGTTCACCTGGTGCACAAGGTTATGGAGGTGGGGGTCTTGCTGGTGCTCAAGTGCCCATATACATCACCCCATGTTCCCATGACTGTTACCCTGCTAAAGAGACACTATTTCGGGGTAAACTGTATCCATGTTGACCCCTGGTTCTTGTTCCTTGTACCCTGGATGCATGTAGATGGGCCTGGAAGAATGCAATGTGGAGTTCCAATGCAAATCGGCTTAAGTCCAGTCAGGGTCTGGACATGTTGCCATGACTGGTACCCGCCTTAAGAGACACTATTTCGGGGTAAACTGTATCCATGTTGACCCCTGGTTCTTCATCCTTGTACCCTGGATGTATGTTGGTGTCCCTGGAAGAATGCAATGTGGAGTTCCAATGAAAATCGGCTTAAGTCCAGTCAGGGTCTGGACATGTTGCCATGACTGTTACCCTGCTAAAGAGACACTATTTCGGGGTAAACTGTATCCATGTTGACCCCTGGTTCTTGTTCCTTGTACCCTGGATGCATGTAGATGGGCCTGGAAGAATGCAATGTGGAGTTCCAATGCAAATCGGCTTAAGTCCAGTCAGGGTCTGGACATGTTGCCATGACTGGTACCCGCCTTAAGAGACACTATTTCGGGGTAAACTGTATCCATGTTGCCCCCTGGTTCTTCATCCTTATACCCTGGATGTATGTTGGTGTCCCTGGAAGAATGCAATGTGGAGTTCCAATGCAAATCGGCTTAAGTCCAGTCAGGGTCTGGACATCTTCCCATGACTGTTACCCTGCTAAAGAGACACTATTTCGGGGTAAACTGTATCCATGTTGACCCCTGGTTCTTCATCCTTATACCCTGGATGTATGTTGGTGTCCCTGGAAGAATGCAATGTGGAGTTCCAATGCAAATCGGCTTAAGTCCAGTCAGGGTCTGGACATGTTGCCATGACTGTTACCCGGCTAAAGAGACACTATTTCGGGGTAAACTGTATCCATGTTGCCCCCTGGTTCTTGTTCCTTGTACCCTGGATGTATGTTGGTGTCCCTGGAATAATGCAATGTGGAGTTCCAATGCAAATCGGCTTAAGTCCAGTCAGGGTCTGGACATCTTCCCATGACTGTTACCCTGCTAAAGAGACACTATTTCGGGGTAAACTGTATCCATGTTGACCCCTGGTTCTTCATCCTTATACCCTGGATGTATGTTGGTGTCCCTGGAATAATGCAATGTGGAGTTCCAATGCAAATCGGCTTAAGTCCAGTCAGGGTCTGGACATGTTGCCATGACTGGTACCCGCCTTAAGAGACACTATTTCGGGGTAAACTGTATCCATGTTGACCCCTGGTTCTTCATCCTTGTACCCTGGATGTATGTTGGTGTCCCTGGAAGAATGCAATGTGGAGTTCCAATGCAAATCGGCTTAAGTCCAGTCAGGGTCTGGACATCTTCCCATGACTGGTACCCGCCTTAAGAGACACTATTTCGGGGTAAACTGTATCCATGTTGACCCCTGGTTCTTCATCCTTATACCCTGGATGTATGTTGGTGTCCCTGGAAGAATGCAATGTGGAGTTCCAATGCAAATCGGCTTAAGTCCAGTCAGGGTCTGGACATGTTGCCATGACTGGTACCCCGCCTTAAGAGACACTATTTCGGGGTAAACTGTATCCATGTTGACCCCTGGTTCTTCATCCTTATACCCTGGATGTATGTTGGTGTCCCTGGAAGAATGCAATGTGGAGTTCCAATGCAAATCGGCTTAAGTCCAGTCAGGGTCTGGACATCTTCCCATGACTGGTACCCGCCTTAAGAGACACTATTTCGGGGTAAACTGTATCCATGTTGACCCCTGGTTCTTCATCCTTGTACCCTGGATGTATGTTGGTGTCCCTGGAAGAATGCAATGTGGAGTTCCAATGCAAATCGGCTTAAGTCCAGTCAGGGTCTGGACATGTTGCCATGACTGGTACCCGCCTTAAGAGACACTATTTCGGGGTAAACTGTATCCATGTTGACCCCTGGTTCTTCATCCTTATACCCTGGATGTATGTTGGTGTCCCTGGAATAATGCAATGTGGAGTTCCAATGCAAATCGGCTTAAGTCCAGTCAGGGTCTGGACATGTTGCCATGACTGGTACCCGCCTTAAGAGACACTATTTCGGGGTAAACTGTATCCATGTTGACCCCTGGTTCTTCATCCTTATACCCTGGATGTATGTTGGTGTCCCTGGAAGAATGCAATGTGGAGTTCCAATGCAAATCGGCTTAAGTCCAGTCAGGGTCTGGACATCTTCCCATGACTGGTACCCGCCTTAAGAGACACTATTTCGGGGTAAACTGTATCCATGTTGACCCCTGGTTCTTGTTCCTTGTACCCTGGATGCATGTAGATGGGCCTGGAAGAATGCAATGTGGAGTTCCAATGAAAATCGGCTTAAGTCCAGTCAGGGTCTGGACATCTTCCCATGACTGGTACCCGCCTTAAGAGACACTATTTCGGGGTAAACTGTATCCATGTTGACCCCTGGTTCTTCTCTCCTGGTGTCCATTTCATGTACATTTCCTCGTGTCCATTTCATGTACATTTCCTCGTGTCCATTTCATGTACATTTCCTCGTGTCCATTTCATGTACATTTGATGGGGGAGTCACATGTGGATGAAATGGACCCGATTCCCGGAGGTTCCGGGCCGAATTTGGGAGCTCATATGCGGCCTGCCGTGCACCCCCACCCGTGGAAAGCAAAAAAAAGTAAATAAAACGGTCAATTATATCTTAAATTCATCAAAAACTACGTTTTTAAAAATTCTCGAAAAACGGCTAAGTGCCAACGGGTGAGGGGGTCAACCCTTCGGCGCTTCGGGCGGAAGCCCCGGAGACATTTCCACTGACCCGTTG